TCTGTGAGTAACATAGGCCTTATTTTTCTTAAATTTTAAACGGGATAAGTCGCGAGCAACAGCTAGTGCGATAAAGTGACTTGCGATATTACTAACTCAGTAGCCGCATAATAACGAGCTGCAGTTCTCTTCGGTTGGTGCGCTCGTGCACTGGGGGCACGTTCTCCGGCGCCTCCAGCTCCGACACGAGCTGCTCCAGCCGGTTGATGGCGAGCTGCAGCTGCCGTTCTCCGCGCTCGCCAACCTCTTCGGTTTGGATGTCAAGCTCCGAGACTAGTAGGTCGAGTAGGCGATCCAATACTACACGGTCACCCTCCACGGTGGAGTCTAGGTCGCCGGCTAACATTAGCACAACCTATAGAAAAAACGATAGGAGTTACAGTACAAAAGAAATTGAACTTGAAAGGTAATATTAGTAATCATACTTCATATCATACTAATCATACTAATATTATAAATGCAAAAGTTTAAATGGATGGATGTTTGTTAGAGTTTGTAGTCAACTAAACTAAGTAAACTACTAAACGGATGTCGATGAAATTCGGGATAGGTGTAGATGATACTCTGGAAGAACACATAGGCTACTTATACTTTATATTTTTTTAATAACTTTTTTTCTTTAATTTTAGAATTATTATAGTTATAAATAAGTGTGACCTGCACGAATGGTATAGCGCGCACGCCGGGCAGCGCGCGCAGCGAGGGCAGCGCGTCGAGCGCGGCGGAGAGCAGCGAGAGGCGCAGCGCGTGCAGCCGGCGCGCCTCGCTCTCCGCCTCCGCTGTGCGCGACGACGACGCCACCGGCTGCGCGCTCGACGTCGACGGACCTGCTGAGACACACAAACATCATTCATTTTGTACTTATTTTTCGTATAAATAAAACGACGAAAAAATGCATAAGCGCTACGGTGAAAAAATAACTACATGGTGACATGATGTTGGAAATGGTTTCTAAGGCTACGACCATCAAAAACCACATACGATTTTTAACGTAATACTAGCCTGGCATGGCCACGGGGGCAGCGATGATGGCATTAGCGGCCAT